ATCCATCGTGGAGTAAGGGTAGATAGTTTCTAAAGCCGCAGTAAGAAATATAGCCACGGAAAATAGCCGAAATGTTCACACATTTGAGATGCGAGGGGAGGCGACATTGGTCACAACAGTGGAGCGAAAACAATGGGCCCACGGCGTGTGCCAAGCCACCTGAGGGCCACGAGGCTCGACAAAGAAAATGGGAAGACATCGGCGCACATTTTAAAACTAGTCCCAAAAAAATTGGATAAAAACCTGAGTTTTGGCGATTATTTAAAGTGGACATCCCCGGTATTACTGACAGTAAACGGATGATGCAATGCTGCGTCATGCCCGGGCGAAAGTGTTAAATGGGTATTCTGTTTTCAACTTTGTTATCTCAATTCTGGTTCTAGGACTTTCATTTTGGTATCAATGTATTCGTAATGAAATTCCCTACAAGAGTATATACATATAATGTCCAAAACAGCAGTAAGACCTTCCTGAAAACGCCGCTACTGTTGCCGCATGGAGGACTCAATGCTGAGTCCTCGCTGGACTTGCCCCTGTTTTATGGACGACTCAGCATCGAGTCATCGCCGGGCAAAAGTGTACATTGAGTCATCGCCGGGCGTTTTTCGCCCGGCACCAAAACACCAGCCAGAGTGGTCCACACACGTGAACGACTGACTTTCAGTGATATTCATTCACTGATTTGTGACACATGTAACTTTGTAAATTAATTTAAAGGCTGAAGCGTGAATAGCTAGCTAATGTGTTGAAATCTTCTAATGTACATTTTCTGTGATGAAACAAGATGAGTGAGGGTGGACAGATAGGGAAATACTCTACTGTACACCACTTTCATCGGTGTCGTCATGTTCAAGTAAACACCAGCCTACAGTAGGGTGTACGAATAGACCTAGTCTGCGTTCGTACAGTATGCACCCAGTGCCCTTAGCTTTGTCTGTGATTGACGTACAGTATTTAACCGCCGGCAGAAGAATAATTGTAGAATTTACCATTTTTTGACTACAGCTGTATTGTTATACAACAAAATGTCTCAGGGGTTACTAATAGTGCCTTATTAATGCCAAAAATGAAGCAATATTTTGCAAGAACTTGTAGCAGAAAATCAATCAACATGAGCACAGCCGTACCCAGCACGAGAACAGCCGTACCCAGCACGAGAACAGCCGTACCCAGCACGAGAACAGCTGTACCCAGCAGGAGCACAGCTGTACCCAGCACGAGAACAGCCGTACCCAGCACGAGAACAGCCGTACCCAGCACAAGAACAGCCGTACCCAGCAGGAGCACAGCTGTACCCAGCACTGGTACAACAGCAGCCAGCACCAGCTCGGAAGCAGCTGAAGCCACAGCAGCAGCGAGCACCAGCAAAGCTGATGCAAAGATCTAAAAACATCCTGTGTGGCATGAACAGTTAGAACAAGTGTTAAATTTAAGTGTGTACATAGTGTGAAAATTAAAGTTGCAGTGATTTTAGTGTACAATAGTTTTCATAAACTGTATTGTAGTACTCATTACAGCTTATATATAATATACAGTGGTACCTCGGAACACGAGTGTCCCTGTATGCGAGTTTTTCGGAATACGAGCAGGATTTCCTCGGAAAATGTGTCTCGGAAGGCGAGGGTTACCTCGGAACACGAGTTTGTTGATACGTGTACAGGCCGACTAGCGCATGGTGGCACGGCGATCGCGCCTCAGTTTACCAGTGTCTCGCGCCCAGTGACTATCCCACCTGAATTCTTCACAAGGATTTACAGTTTTTTGTCGTTTTTTTGGCCATTTGAGCATAAAAGTTGTCATTATATATCTCGCCATGGGTCTCAAGAAAGCCATTGGTAAGGTTCAACCTAAGAAAATAGCTGTGAGTAGAGGCAGTAGAGGATGTCCCTTCTTGATTAAGAAAATGTGTGAAGTATGGGAAGAACTGCAAAGTTTTGTTGAAAAAACTCACCCAGATAAAGCTGTAGCAGGCCGTTGCATTGACCTTTTAAATGACAATGTGATGTCTTACTACAGACAAGTGTTAAAATGTAGGGAAAAACAAGTGTCTTTAGACAGATTCTTAGTAAAACAAGCAAGTCCTAGTGGTATGCAGGCAAAATGTGCCAGTGTGTGCATACCAGTGAAGTCCTCACTGCCTGATGTTATAAAGGAAGGAGACTCCTCTTCCAAACAGTAACACCTCTCCTCCTCCTCCCTCCTCCTCACATCTTCCATACACCAACAGCAGTCATCAGCAAGGGTAAGTAATAACTTGAACATAGTTTTGTAGGTTTATTTAGATGAATTAGGTATAAAAATTTAGTTTGATGTGGGGTTTTTGGGGTAGTTGGGAACGGATTAATTCATTTCCCATTATTTCTTATGGGGAAATTAGCTTCGGAATACGAGTTTTCGGAATACGAGCTGTCTCCAGGAATGGATTAAACTCTTAAACCGAGGTACCTCTGTATAGGTACAGTATATAACATGATAATGCATTTTTACTGTGTACAAGGAAAAAGACACCGACGCAAACGCCTCCTGAAAGTCACCTCTTGCAACGCATCCAACGCACTGGGGTTGGTCCCATATAGTACGTTGAATCGAGGTTGTACTGTATATGTGCATATATATGTACATGTATGTATGTGTGTATTAATATATATACATTTTATTTAGGAAAGGGTTCCGTTCCCTTCGCTGTTGATGGGGCGTTGGGGTGGGGGGGGCAGCTTGCTCTGTTGGCTCTCGCTTGTGGTTATCTTCTGGCCTCTGGTGGCATTGGGCGGCTTCTTCCCCTTTGGGGGGGGTTCGGGGCTGGTGGGGTGGGCTTCTTTCCCTGTGCTTCGTCACGTCATCTTGGTGTGGATGCATTTGGACGTGGTCGTTCCGCCCCATCTTTCTGAGGCTCCCGCCTGTTCTAGTGCAAACATGGGCCTTGCAGTTCTCCTGGACTTATGTAGTCTGCGCCCTGGATTCTTTGCCCTCTTCGGAAGACTGTTGTCTCCGGTCCAGCTTCTGTTGGGGCTGGGTGCCTGGATGATATCCCTGGACCTCCGGGTCACTTCTTTGCACGTTCCTCTCCAGGATTCCGGGACTGGCATAGTTGGTGGTGGGACTTCAGGCGTGCCGCTTTTGTTGCCTTCCCTAGTTTGTAATTGCCACTTAGTGTATTTACACATCTTTACCGGATCTTGATGACCTATCTGCGTCTGCTCGGGATTTGGTTTCTGGCCTACCTCGACGACTGACTGGTGTGGGCTCCCAGTCGGACCAGTTACCTGTTTTTCTTCTCCAGGTTCAGCTGTTGCTTCAGGTTCTGGCTTGGTTGCAGTCCTTCCCAAGGAGAGTAGTCCTCATGGTCTCTTGGTGGCTGGCCCAGTTTTGTTTTCAGACGCTGCTTGATAGGTGTCCGAACCTGGGGCATTTCCTTCGGCTCCGCCTCTTTCTGCAGGTCGGACCGGTCCTGTACGTGACTGGTTCGGCCTTCTCCTTTGCTCTTTTGGCGAGGGTTTATCGCCATCTCTATGGTGATCAGGTGGCTTCGTTGATGGTGTCCCACCCGCGAGCTTCGTCTCGGCGACAGTATGACGTTCCTGGCGGTTCTATTCTCCATTTTCTTGCTCTTCGTAGGTTGTCTTTTCTTTCGCATTGGGTTGTCTTGTTCTTTCTTGGGTTTTCAGGACTGTTACTTGATGCTTGTTACTGTCACCTCATATTGTGCGGCGCTGGCGGAGCCGCTCCGGCTTGTGTTTGGGATGGACGTCACATTCGTCCCATTCTGTACGCTTATCGTGTTTTGTTTCACCTCCAGCCTGCTCATGTGCCACCTGAGCCGTCCTGGTCCTTGATCAGGGTGCCCTCCTCTTATCTTTCCTCTCCTCAGTTTGTGGTAGCCTCTTCAGTTAAAGATTGTTTTTCAAAGGCCATATTTTGTTGCCATTGACCTCTGTGGGTCGGGTCGGGGAGCTTCCTGCTCTCCTCTGGCGCAGAGGTTTCTGCTCTTTTGGTACTGGTTGTAGGTTTGTACACGTGCAGCCTTTCTCTGTCCTTCTGGCGACGGTTGAGACGGATGCTAACCCAAGGACCCCTTCAGAAAGGGGGTCCAAACGTTTGCAGCTTTCGCTGCCATGTTTGGTGACGTCTTGGGCTCATTTTGTGCGCAAGGATTTGAGGTCGCACAGGTTCCTGGCCGCCCGTTTTTTTGTGAGCGTGTCTGCTCCTGTGCGTTCTTGTGTTGCTTTGGGTTGCAGGTTGCTGCCTGTTGTCTCGACTTCGCGTTGCGGAGTTTGTGGCGGCCGCCTCCCGGGTCAGCCCTCTCTTTTCCTTCTCGTTGGGTATGTAGCTCCAGGGAGCCCTAGGGGCTCCCCACAGAATATCAGCATTGAATGTAATGAAACGCCATTTTCTGAGTGAGTCCCGGAGGCTCCCTGGCAACCCACCCTCCCACCAGTCGGCGTTTTATTTGAGTTGGTTGAAGCTTATCTTCCGAACTGGTACTAGGCAGCCGGCACGGTGAGGTCCGGGGCTTCCCCCTCCCCCTCTCGGGGCGGGGAGGACTGCGGGACGATCGGCGTGGCAGTAAAGTGTGATGTTTGTTTGTTTGCTTGTTTCTTTGGGATTGTAGGGAGTTTCTACCTCTCTGTTCGGTTTTTGTTCTAGTTTTTTACCACGTGGGGTTTGTTTTGTTATGCCTATCTTTCTGGGTGCCTAACCCCGGTCGATGGCAGATAAGGAAAACCCCAACCACAAGGGGGTTTTCCAGGACCATTGCTCCCTGAAACCTCTCTGAAGGGGACAGGTTCTGGCACTGGTCCCTGTTAGGTCTGAACTCCTTAGCTAATGTCCCAGTCTAATATAACATACAGTAGCCCAATAAGCTCCCCGAGCCTCCGGGGCTCACCCAGAAAATGGCGTTTCATTACATTCAGTGCTGGTTTTTTCTCTTCCCTGAAGTAAGAAAATAATTAAAAGTTTACCTGTACAGTATTAATATTAACTCCAAGAATTTTTTGCAGACCATTTACAAGTGGCAAAAACCATCCACAATTACTTGAAGTTGAGGGCACAACTGCCCGACTCATACTACGCAAGGCAGTAGCAACAATGTGTGCACACACCGGCTACACAGACACTGCAGAGAGTGTGCTTCGGGTATTGACTGATGTTACACATGAGTTTCTGACCAAACTGACAGGTGTTCTGCGAGCCAATGCTGATAACCTCCTTCTCAGTGACAGATGCCCTTTTCATGTGAGTTATATCCAAATCTCAATCCTCCTTACTGCTCTGCAGACAATTTGATCATTGTTTCAACTAATCCCACTCTCATTATCGGGTACTGATTAGATGAACATTTATCTTTAAATGTTAACATGAAGAAGTTTTACATGTACCCTCTGAAACTGCTGAGCTCCTGGTGTAGTTTTCTGTGATACTACTTACCCATCCTTTCCCAGCAGTTGCCTCCACACCCCTTGAGAATGGAAAGTGGAATAATGATGGTAGCAGTGAATATGGTTCAATAAGCAAACATATCTTCAAACTTGCTAAAAAGCATTTTCATAAATTTGATATGATTTTTCGGCATTCATGCCTACTTGTTTGTAATTGCTCATTCTCCACAGGAGTCATGCTTACATCTTGGATCAAATACAGTGGTACCTCGCATAACGAATTTAATCCGTTCCATGTTCGGCATGTAAAACGGACGTCATACAAAACGAGTGTCCCCCATGTAACCAGTGTGATGCACTGTGTTTATTGTGAAATTTCCCCAGTGTGCATGACATCAAATGTTCCCCCAAAATATAATTTTTCTTTGTAAAATGATAAATTACCATCCCTGAGCATGTCTATGTAAAAATAATTACCAAATTCCACTTTGGCTGTGAGGGCGTGGACAAGGTGCGCTGTGACATCATCAGGGGCTGGTCGCCCGTGTGTGAAGCTCCCAGACACGGTCGCACAGGCCATTCAAGCACCGCGTGTTGCCACAAATATATTTTCAAATATTTTTTCTATGCATTTCCAATGCGGTTTTATTTGTTTCTTTTATCGTATATGATGCATATTTGTGATCTTTACAATATGTATACAGTAGAATGTTCATAATTTTCCATGAAACTGTGATACATGTGTCAATAATGTGTCCACAATAAATGTTTATTGTCACAATATTACGTGGTAAAAATTCACTAAAATTACAATATGTACAGTTTCACATACTATTTACACAGTAACACACTGTATTACACACTCAGTACTTTGGAGGGTGCGTAATAGTCAACGAAGTAGTCCATGGTACACAGCGCGACTTTGCTCTCCTTGCACCAGCTACAGATAGATTTTCGTTTCTTGTTTCATCGTTCTGTGTGCTTGCAAATAACGCACTCACGTGCACCCTTAGCTTTAGTACTTGTAGGTGGTATGTAGCCAAGCGTGTAAAGCATAAAGTAGTATTGAAACGATTATAGGAAAAGCTCAATTTGTAAGGTAGTCTTGAAAAGATCGCTTTGTTTGGGCTCATTTTGTGCGCAAGGATTTGAGGTCGCACAGGTTCCTGGCCGCCCGTTTTTTTGTGAGCGTGTCTGCTCCTGTGCGTTCTTGTGTTGCTTTAGGTTGCAGGTTGCTGCCTGTTGTCTCAACTTCGCGTTGCGGAGTTTGTGGCGGCCGCCTCCCGGGTCAGCCCTCTCTTTTCCTTCTCGTTGGGTATGTAGCTCCAGGGAGCCCTAGGGGCTCCCCACAGAATATCAGCATTGAATGTAATGAAACGCCATTTTCTGAGTGAGTCCCGAAGGCTCCCTGGCAACCCACCCTCCCACCAGTCGGCGTTTTATTTGAGTTGGTTGAAGCTTATCTTCCGAACTGGTACTAGGCAGCCGGCACGGTGAGGTCCGGGGCTTCCCCCTCCCCCTCTCGGGGCGGGGAGGACTGCGCGGACGATCGGCGTGGCAGTAAAGTGTGATGTTTGTTTGTTTGCTTGTTTCTTTGGGATTGTAGGGAGTTTCTACCTCTCTATTTACACAGTAACACACTGTATTACACACTCAGTACTTTGGAGGGTGCGTAATAGTCAACGAAGTAGTCCATGGTACACAGCGCGACTTTGCTCTCCTTGCACCAGCTACAGATAGATTTTCGTTTCTTGTTTCATCGTTCTGTGTGCTTGCAAATAACGCACTCACGTGCACCCTTAGCTTTAGTACTTGTAGGTGGTATGTAGCCAAGCGTGTAAAGCATAAAGTAGTATTGAAACGATTATAGGAAAAGCTCAATTTGTAAGGTAGTCTTGAAAAGATCGCTTTGTAAGGTCCCACACAGGAAGAGATTCAGCTAGCCTCAAAGAGTGTCCATCAGTTAGGAAGAGATTCAGGTATTCTTGAAAATATCAGTGAACACCACCACCATGGAAGCCGCTAACACTGTTCATCTATGCTACTTGTATCAGATGCATCATCACTGAACGCAGAAAACGATTCATCTATATACATTAGAGATGGCAAGGGTGGGGCTCAGAGCTACACTTGGATACGCTCGCTGTATCATCCTCATAGGTGCTGTATCACTGGCATCCGACCGTTGTGTTAAACCCTTATTGCGCCTAGCTTCACCAATGTTATGACCCTTATGTTCTTCAAACAATAGGGTCTGAATTGCACCGACTGAGCACAGTCTTTCAACACCGTGTGGGACAGGTGTTTGAGAGCCAGAGGCACGTGTGCTACAAATGGTTGCTCACGCAGTACTAACCCAGCCAGCAGCCCTTGTCTTTCATATTCGTTATAGCAAAAGGTTCGTTCAGTGTTTGTTGGGTAGGCTGCTCCATTATGACAATCTTTCTTTGTTTCAAATGTGTTCCATTTGTTTTGTATATGTCACTTATGTCTCAATAATGGAGCAGCCTACCCGACAAACACTGAACGAACCTTTATGACATTTGTCCATTTTTCAAATTGTTTCAACAGTTCTTTTATGTTTCGTTTTTTTTTTTTTTAAGAAACATGGAGCAGCCGACCTGTAGACCACCGAACGAACCTTTTTGACATTTGTACTGGTTTTCAAAATTCTTCATTTTTTTTATTTACGTTTTTTGTATGTAAGAAACATGGAGCAGCCTACCTGCCGACCACCGAACGAATCTTTTGCTATAAGACAAATGAAAAATAAATATTGAACACATTTGAAGAAAGGAAAATGTCATAATGGTTTATTCAGTGTATGTAAGGTAGGCTTCTCCATTATTGAGACGTAAATGACAAATACAAAACAAATGGAACACATTTGAAACAAAGAAAGATTGTTATATTGGAGCAGCCTACCTGCCGAACACCGAACGAACCTTTTTGACATTTGTTGTATATCAGACATTTCATTTCTTTTTTCCTACAAAAACGTCAATGCTTTGCAACATCTCAGCAGTCACCCTTTTATATCCCAGCATCATTAGCATCTTTAAACAAGAACAACATAATTTATATGCATTGTCGGAGGCATCTAAGAATGTGCAAGAAGCAGCGCGACCCCACCATGTGGTGTTGACGTTACTCAAACCAGCGTTCGTCATACGGGACGATTTGACGCCGATCGGGCCGTTCGTTACCCAAAATATTCGTCTTTTGGGGCAATCGTTATGCGAGGTACCACTGTACTACTATTATTTAGGGAGATGCATCTAAATTTTTCTTCATGTAACAAAATCTATACTAAAGCCACAGTGACCTAACTCTACCTCCATATGCTTCCATCTTTGTTACTTAATATTTATCAGAACAGTACCAATGGTAACCATTACTGTATTTCAATGGTCATTGTTGCAACCCGTTCTCGCACTTGCTTATAGTCAATATTGGCTTATTTAATAAGTGCATATGTGACATACTAATTGATTGTGAATATTTTAGTGCTTCTTAATTACAATTATTACTTAACCTATACCGTTGATAGGTTAAGTAATAATTGTAAATAAGAAGCAATAAGATGCTTATCTTAACATACTAAGAAGGTTAGGTGAGGTCGGTGTTTTCTATGAAGCTTTTCAAGGTAAACTAAAATATTCACAATCAATTAGTATGTCACATATGCACTTATTAAATAAGCCAATATTGACTATAAGCAAGTGCGAGAACGGGTTGCAACACAGCACCACAGCATTATTTCGTCCATCTAGGAATCTTCAAACGACTTCTTAGGTTCCTTTACAAAATAAACTTGTGGTCAATTATGTATTTACAGGATTTAGTGACCATTATTGTGATAACAGCAGGATTGTGGGTGATAATAAGCACTGTGCGTAGTATTGTGGGAGGAGTAATTGTGGTGAGGGAGCGAGGCCTCACTGTGAGTGGCAGCCACTCTTGTTTTGCTCATCATACTAGCTTAGTGGTTTGCTATGGTGAACACATGTACATGGGTATATACAATGTGTGTATATACTCATGTACATATGTGCTTAGTATTATGGGAGGAGTAATTGTGGTGAGGAAGCGAGGGAGAGAATCGAGGAAGCCTCACTGTGTGGCAGCCACTCTTGTTATGCTCATCATACTAGTTTAGTGGTTCGCTATGGTGAACAAATATGTACATGGGTATACACAATGTGTGTATATAGTGTAGTAACAGCAACAGGAGTATGTTGGGAGGAGCTGTTTTGGTGAGGGAGGTGACGTAATTGTATCGTCGTCTGCTGGCTGCTGTGTGATTTCTCATGCAGTGTATGGTGGCCACTGTAAAGTTTGGACACAATACCAGCTTACTTGCATAGTTCTGGTGAATAAAACATGTAGATAGGTATACATAACATGTGTAAATAGTGTAATACAAACAATAACAGTATGGTGGGAGGAGCAATGTTGGCGAGTAAGATGTTGGAGGAGTGAGGGAGAGACTGGATGTTGGAGGAGTGAGGGTGTGGCAGCTGACACTCGCAGAGTTCTGAGTGTGTTCATGGTGAATGTATATAGTGTGTGATAGTGTATAGTGTATAAATAGACTGTATATATACATAAATTAGCATAATACAATGGAAATATGTGCCAGATATGTGTACACATGTGTCATGCACGTAAGACAGTGTCTTCGGACAGTACGGATGTTCTACTGCCATAATATAGTGTATGTGTTCATTATACATAGGATTGGCACGTAAAAGCATATAAATGTATTTTGAACTGTGCGCAGAAAATGAACAAAAATATATTCGCGGCAACTCGCACATCCTGCCCCGAGCGCCCTACCGGCCCTGGGGCCGTATG